AGAAGAAATAGGGTAAAAATAGAACAGAACAGAACTAGAATAGAATACAAGAAATAGGATAAAAATAGAACAGAACAGAACAGAATAGAATAGAATAGAATAGAATGTAGGAATAAGAATAGAGTAGAGTAGAGTAGAATAGAATAGAATACAGAATAAAGAAATAGGATAAAAATAGAATGGAATGGAATAGAATGTAGGAATTAGGATAGGATAGGATAGGATATTGGAATGAAGAATAGAATAGGAACAGAATAGAATGTAGGAATATGAATAGAATGGAATGGAATAGAATGGAATAGGAATAGAGCTAGAAGGGACCTTGGAGGTCTTCTAGTCCAGCCCCCTGCTCAAGGAGGAGAACCTATACTGCTTCAGACAATTGACTGTCTACTCTAGTCTCTTCTGAAGGACCTCCAGTGATGGAGCGCCCACGATTCCTGAAGGCAAGCTGTTTCACTAGTCAATTGTCCTGCTGAGGCTGATGGGAGTTGAGAGCCCAACGACCCTTGTAGGATGCAGCTGTTCACCCCAGTGGGTCTGTGCTGGAGAGTTCCGAGAGTTGAAGTCCACAAAATCTTAAAGCTTGCCGAGGTTGAATCCTCCCGGCTTGGAGGAAACCAGGTGCTGTCCTACTCACCAGACCTAGCCAATGCGTCCATCCCATAGGAACGTGCTGAACGCCGCCCGCTTGCGGGTGCCCGTACTGATAAGAAAAGGAGAAATGTTGGTGAAAAAGCACAGCCGGCACACCCCTTGCACACTCGCTGAAAGGAAAAGCGTTGGGCGGGAAACAGGCAGCCCTACCTGGTTGAGGTATTTGCCAGCGTAGAAAGTTTGGTAACCTTGCTTCTGCAGGTAAACCGGGAAGCTTAAGGGCTCCTGGAACTTCTGCCAGGCGGCGTTGCTGCAATTCCCTTCCAAGGTGTTGTTCCGCACCAAGTGGTTGTGGGGATACAAGCCTGTCAGGATGCTGCTGCGGCTGGGACAACAGAGGGGAGTCACTGCAAACTAAACACAGACAGATCGGTTGGGAGGATGGGTTCCTTCTGTTCACCGTCTACTCCAAGACTTGTGGACTTCAACTCCCAGAATCCCTCAGCCAGCTATGCTGAGAAGTTGAAGTCCACAAGTCTTAAAGTGGCCAAGTTTGGAGACCTCTGGTCCAGGCGTGGGATTCTGCCTGTTCGGACCGGTTCTATAGAACCGGTTGTTATGATTCAGCCCAGTTTGGAGAACCGGCAAATTTATTTATTTATTTTTTATTTATTTGATTTGCCAATTGTTTACAAGATAATAAGTATAAGTGTATACATAGTTGTGAATACATGAAATGGGTACATATAAGAAAAATAAAAGAAGAATAAGAGAAACAATAGGACAGGGACGGTAGGCACGTTGGTGCGCTTATGCACGCCCCCTACAGACCTCTTAGGAAAGAGGTGAGGTCAATAGTAGACAGCCTAAGGTTAAAGTTTTTGGGGTTTGGGGAAGAAACTACAGAGTCGGGTAGAATATTCCAGACATTGACCACTCTGTTGCTGAAGTCGTATTTCCTGCAATCAAGTTTGGTGTGGTTAACTTTGAGTTTGTATCTATTGTGTGCTCTTGTGTTGTTATGGTTGAAGCTGAAGTATTCATTGACAGGTAGGACATTGCAATGTATGATTTTATATACCATGCTTAAATCAGACCGAAGACGGCGTAATTCAAGGTTTTCTAGTTCTAGAATTTCAAGTCTGGTGGCATAAGGTATTCTACGAGTAGAGGAGTGGAGAACTCTTCTTGTGAAATATTTCTGGACTTTCTCAATTGTGCTTATATCAGATACGTAATGTGGGTTCCAGACTGATGAACTGTATTCGAGTATTGGTCTAGCAAATGTTTTGTATGCTCTGGTTAGTAGTGTGATATTACCAGAGAAAAAGCTACGTAGGATTAGGTTAACAACTCTTAATGCCTTTTTGGCTATGTAGTTGCAGTGGGCTCTAGCACTTAGCGCCACTGGTTGGCCCCTTCCCTCCCCTCCCCGCCCATTCACTCCTTACCTGGCATGCGCGCCATCAAACTTGCCTGCTAAGTTGTTATTTTTCCTCCCCCAACCATCAGCTTTTTTGCTGTACGGGGAGATTTAGATTAGCTAGAAAGCAGGAAATGATTGGATTTCTTGCTTTTTAGCTAATCTAAAAGCAGAGCTGAACCTTCCTTAGGACTGAAGCTTCTATTTTTTCAGTGCAGACTCAGGTAGCAGATTGCAGAAAGGTAGATCTCTGAGTGAATCTGTGATTCTGTGAGCAACTCAATCTGCCTGCCTGTTTTGCCTGATTTGGGGTAAAAGTTGCTCTTTTTTTAATAAAAAAAATTAAATGTTTACAATATTTACATACAAGCCATGCCCAGCCAGTCACGTGACCACCAAGCCACACCCACAAATTAGGCCACATCCACAGAACCGGTTGTTCAGAAAGTTGAATCCCACCCCTGCTCTGGTCTACTCCAAAGTAGCACAACTCCAGAGGTTTTCCAAGTTTCTGTTCCTAGATGCAGTCTAGCTGCCTTGGAGGAGGCTGGAAATGCTCTAAAAGTTAACCGAGTTATTTCCAAGAGATGACAGAAGCTATTAACTTGGTGAACGGACAGCACTTCAAATGCCTCCAGCCAACTTCCTAACAGTGAGGAAAATTAACCAGGCTCCATCACTTCAGGTTTTTAGGAAGAGACTGGAAAGTTACTTGTCTGAGATGGTATAGGAGCTCCTGCTGGAGCAGGGGGCTAGACTAGAAGACCTCCAAGGTCCCTTCCAGCACCTAGCCTAGTGTAACCCATTTCTTAATTCCAATATTCTATTTTGTTCTGTCCAGTCCTATCCTATTCTTCTATTTCTTAATTCCAATATTCTATCCTATTCTATCCTATCCTATTTAATTCCAATACTCCAATGTTCCTGGCTTCTTACCCAAGTATTGTCTGCTACAGCACGGCATTTGGAAGATATCGGCCTGGCAACTCTCCCAGCCTGATAAAAGGTCTGTAGTTGTGCAATCTCTTGAAAGACTGTTTGCTGGGACTTTGCTGGAGATTTTAAATTCATTTAAAGGGATTTTATCGGGATGATGAGTCGGCTTCATGTTTTTGGGAAGCCTGGGTCAAAACAGACAGGAGGGGATGGGCAGGGTCTCTACTCCTAGAGGTGAACCTATACAAAGCAATTCTGAAACCCCATTTTGGGGATACTTACTGCATTAGCAAAGGTAGCCCCAAATTGACCCATCAGAACTTGGGTCTTCTTCATCGGGCCCTGAAAAATTCAAAATGAAGAATCGGAATGAAGCCTTCAAAACAAGACTACTAAATAGCCCCTCCCAATGGAGAAACTCCACTCTTATATCCTTGTGACACGTGTTTGAAAGAGCCACCATGGTATCTAGCACAGGAGTGACAATACAGAGCACTTGAGATCTTCTTATTGAAAAGAACTCCTGTATATTTCCTCTTTTTGTATTAATCCATATAGGTTCCTTTATTGTCTTCTCTTTTTTATAGTAAATTAATCAATGGAATGGGTTGCCTCCAGAAGTTGTGAATGCTCCAACGCTGGAGGTTTTTAAGAAGAGATTGGACAGCCATTTGTTTGAAATTTATTTGTCTACGGCAAGGGTCTTCAAACTTGGCAAGTTCAAGACTTGTGGACTTCAACTCCCAGAATTCCTGAGCTAACATGACCGGAGGAGGAATTCTGGGAGTTGAAGTTCACAAGTCTTAAAGCTGTCAAGTTTGAAGATCCCTGGAATAAATAGATAGAGGTAGAATAGATAGATAAAAAGAAATAGATAGAATAGATAGAGGGAGAGAGAAAGAGATAGAATAGAATAGAATAGAATAGAATAGAATAGAATAGAATAGAATAAGAGAGATGTAGGATAGATAAAATAGATCAAGGGTCTTCAAACTTGGCAAGTTTAAGACTTATTGGCTTCAACTCCCAGAATTCCTGAGCTAACATGACTGGAGGAGGAATTCTGGGAATTGAAGTCTACAAGTCTTAAAGCTGTCAAGTTTGAAGATCCCTGGAATAGATAGATAAGGAGAGGTAGAATAGATAGGTAGAAATAAAGAGATAGACAGAATAGATAGAGGGAGACAGAGAAAGATCGAATAGATAGAATAGATAGAGGTAGGTAGGATAGAGAGAGATAAGATAGATAAAATAGATCAAGGGTCTCCAAACTTAGCAAGTTTAAGACTTGTGGGCTTCAACTCCCAGAATTCCTGAGCTAACATGACCGGAGGAGGAATTCTGGGAGTTGAAGTCCACAGTCTTCAAGCTGTTAAGTTTGAAGATCGTTGATCTACGGTCTCCTGTTTGAGCAGGGCGTTGAACTAGAACACCTCCAAGGCCCCTTCCAGCTCTTTATTTTTGGCCAGGCCAAGTATCAAAAGAGGAACCCAACTGATCTATGCTTTCACATGGAGATGAAACATCATGACTGGAGAAAACCAGAACGGAAACTTCCTACGCAGCAACTTGTTTGTGGTTCCTTCTAAGCCACATGATCCACACTAAACATTTCCTTCCTTCATTTGCTGGGACTTTCAAAGCATCGCCTTCCAAAATCCATAAGCAGCAGTGATCCGAGGGCCTTTGGTTTGGAACTGTTTCCCTTTCTCTTGGCGTGGGTTTAAGCACCCACGCAGTTACTGTTGAAAAGAAGTGGCATAATTTCCTCCTTTTCTGCAGCAGGACGCACAAAAGTGGGTTTTAACAAGAGGTTAGAGACAGTGATAGGCACCGTGAAGGTTTGGCAGTGAGAGGTAGAGAAAATATGTAGATCAACTATGAATGATGCATGGAGGTACAAAATACCAAGGAAGAAGTATGGAAAACATGCCCAAAAATATCAACAAGAATTGAAATACTAAAACGAACAAGAGATGATGGATAGAAATAGAACACCTACTAACATAAGATTTGTGCTATTAAGATTTAGAATAGAGGTAGAAATTAGAAAGGGAGAGATATTATTGTACGTATTCCTATGTAATATTTTAAAATCAGTATGTCGAAAGGATCAGAAGTTGAAAGATGATTGCATTATGTACACTTAAACAACATTATTATGGTTATTAGTATTGTGCATTAAAATACTGAATAATTAAATGATGAAGGATTATATGCATGGTGGAGCAAATACTAAAATATTAACTTTAATAGTAATATTTATAATGATGTATTATTAATGTAATTAAGATTATCAAAATTGTCACTATTATCACTATTATTTAGTATCAGAATTAACGATACCGAGGCCACACTGTTCATGTATTCAATACTTAGATATATTTAAAAATAAAAAAAATTATATACATAAAAAGTGGGTTTTAACACAAACAGTGTTAAAAGAATAGATTGGTCTTCAAAGCTGGTAGCAAACTAAGTTTGTTTGATCTTTATAAAGCGAAGCAGGTCAAAACTGGTAAATATATAGATGAGAGATCACCAGAACTTTAGATAAGGATGAGTTTTTAAAAAACATTGTGGAAGAAACTAATAAAAATTCAGGGTCCTTGGTGCTCTCTGAGTTTGCTTGTTTTCTTGCAGACGTTTTATTATTACCAAACTAGGTTGCATCATCATCAGTGCACTGTAACCTAGTTTGGGTAATGAAATGTCTGCAAGAGAACAAGCAAACTCAGAAAGCACTACTGACCCCAGAGTTCAACCCTGAGACACAAATATATATATTTTTTAATATAAGTAATAAAACAAATGCCATGTCTGAACTGAACTCTGCCCAAAGCACTCACAGGAAACAACATCGTGTTGTCCTTTTAGTTACCAGGAATCAAATTTGATATTTTATGTTCCTAAAGAAACAAAGGTGTGCCAGAGAAATAAAGAGAACAACATCATAAATAGGTTTGCTAACAGAGTGCAAGTGGCTGCTTTTCAAGAAGCAATTGGTCAGCATTCTGTGACCAAAAAAAATGGTTAATTTGCAGAATTTATTCATTATTTATTTCCTCTTTCCAAGTCAAACTGCATCACCCTTCAATCTTTCCATCGCTGTGCTCATGTCCTTCCTACATTTATTAACAATCACACTAATAAGTAATAATTATATGTATATGTTTGGGAGCCTCTCCTCAACATGCTGAGCAGTGAGCAAGTTTTCCTTAAATTGCCCCTCACCATTAGATATTATAGAACACTAATACAAGATAATTAATGTTAACAATTTATTGCTTTAACTAACATTGACAAGCAAGTTGCAGATTAATATTATTCCTTGGCACTATTAGACTATTTCTAGACGGTTTCCATGCTGTGAAGGTGGGCGGGGCACATTTTTAAGGTCTGTTCTGCTTCCAACTCTAAACAATGCAAACAATGCGAGGTAGGCCAAGCCAGCAAACACTTTACAAGAACTATAAATGCTAGAATCTTATCGTTGCATGGTGCAAGACCAAAATTTCCAAAAGCGGATGGATTTTTGTCTCCACGCCTGTTATATCCAAGAGCAAAGGTCTCCTCAACTTTGCAACTTTCAAGACTTTTTACACTTCAACTTCCATGTCTTGGTGGAGAATTGTGGAAGTGGGAAGTCCACAAGTCTTAAAGTGGCCAAGGCTGGAAACTTTTGCCCAAGGGAATCTAGACAGGGCCATCTCGAGTCACTTTCTCACCCCTTCCTCCCTTTCCAGGATGAAGGCTTATCTCTGAATCCTTGATGCCAGAGGAATTTACACCCAGTAGCAACTCAGTCCCCACACCTTCCTCAGCAGCTGTTCACTCAGGCTCCTTCTGCTGACTGCCTGCAATTTGGCAGTTCAAATTCCACCAAGCTGAAGGTTGACTCAACCTTCCGTCCTTCCGAGGTGGGTAAAATGAGGACCCAGATTGTTGGGGAGCAAGAGGCTGACTCTATAAACAGCTTAGAGGGGGCTGTAATGGACTGTGAAGCGGTATATAAGTCTAAGTGCTATTGCTATTTTCCTTCCTTCCTTCCTTCCTCCCTTCCCTCCCTTCCTGGGGTTAGAGTGCAGTATTGCAGGCTGACTCTGCCCACTGCTAGCAGTTTAATCCTGAGCAGCTCAAGGTTGACTCGGCTTTCCGTCCGTCCGAGGTCAGTAAAATGAGGACCCAGATCAAGGGACTTCAAACTTGGCAAGTTTGAGGCTTGTGGACTTCAACTCCCAGAGTTCCCGAGGCAACATGACAAGAGGTTGGAATTCTGGGAGTTGAAGTCCACAAGTCTTCAAGCTGTCCAGTTTGAAGACCCCTGACCCAGATTGTTGGGGGGGGGGCAGGGGCAAGAGGCCGACTCTGCAAACCGCTTTAGAGAGGGCTGTAAAAGCCCTGTGAAGAGGCATATAAGCCTAAGTCAGGGGGGTCTCCAAACTTAACCACTTTCAGACTTGTGGACTTCAACTCCCAGAATTCCTCCTCCTGTCATGTTAGCTCTCAGGAATTCTGGGCGTTGAAGTCCCCAAGTCTCAAACTTGCCAAGTTTGAAGTCCATAAGCCTTCAAACCTTGCCATGTTTGGGGACAACCATGACCTGGTGCCCACTGGCCCATCCTGGGGGCTGGAGTGCCAGACGCTTGCAGGCGGCGTCCGGGTGGAGCAAGTCCGCCACGCAGGTCCGAGGCTTACCATTCCCCCCAGGACCAGATCCTGGTCGTCGGCGAGGATGAGAACGATGTTGGCTCTCTGGGGCCCGCCGACTTCTCCGCGCCCCGCATTCAGGAGCACCAGCAGCAGCAGCAGCAACAACAGGCCCCCCGCGAGTCCCTCCCGTCCCCCCAAACCCCGCGTGGGTCGCATCTTCGCTCCGTGGAACCTCGGCCCCTTTTTTTCTTCCCAGCTGACTTTCAAGGAAGCGCCGACGACGACGCCCCTTTGGCTCCGCGTCTTGTGACTCCCAGGGCTGGAGGCTGGAGCAGGAGAAAGTGAAGCGCTTTCGCTTTCGCTTTGGCGAAAGTGGGAATCCAGGCGGGGCGGCGCGGCGCTCTTTTAAGCCCGGCCCCCCCTCTTCTCCTCCCCCCCCTTATTTGCAAGAGTGGGCGGGGACAGTGGGGGTGGGGTGGGGGGTGGGGCTTCCTTCGGACCGCAGCTGGAGCAGATGCTGC